ACCTCACAAACAAACACGTCCGCTCAGCTCGGCTGTTCGCTCTGAACAAAATTTTGACCTTTGACCCGAATAACTTTTTTAGCACACATGGAATCGATGGGGACTTTTGACACTTTATTTCTAATGGTGTATCCAAGGTCTCCACCAAAATTTAGCTGTCGGAATTTTCGTTATTTTAAATGTTTATTTTGACCGGACTATTAATCGCGACGTTTCATCAATCAATTTTTATAAAAAACCTAAATATCTCGAAAACGAAAACCATACATTTTAAGGCATGGACGTGGTAACAAAAATTACTCAAAATAACTCATAGAATCGACGAGTGATATAAAAAATGGGGTATTCCATTTAAAACAATGGAGATGACGTCATTGAACACAGATAGATGTCAAAATTTTAAATGTCCGTTGTAACTAAACCCTAAAAATTAAAATTAAAATTAAAAAAAATTGCCTTACTTTTATCAACAAAATATTATGCAATATGTTTAAGCAAACATATGACATATTCTTATGTATATATATCTGTAATCAGAAAAAGTAGAGGAATTTAAAAAACGATAAATATACACGGTTACGTTAAAAAACAAATATTTTTTATATCTCTAAAACGCAACATTCAATTGTTTTTTATGTATTTATGAAGCGGCCGCGCAATTTATTTTGCACCCGGTCTTGTTATTGCTATACTGAAATTAATGAATTTAAAATAAATATCTTGCTTAAATTTACACACATATTGATTTAACTAACTTTACCTTATTTAAATAATTTCTCAAACCCTAGATAAAAACTGAAACTGCATTAACTGAAGCTTTTTTGTCGTATCTGCCGGTAGCTGGTATTTTACTAATTTTCATGTCACATGATATGAATTTATTCCGTTTATTCTATCTACCCTGTAATTTTTAATCGTTTCCAAATACAATGGCTTTATAAACACATCTCGAGCCAACTGTATTTCCAAATATTTGTGTAATGGATCATTTAACTATTGAAAACAAGATGGCGCAGTATCAAAAGTGTAAACGTGAACGATTAAATATCAAGTTTACATACATATGGCTCCTCCTTGTAACGAATTGGAGAACTAAAATTTGATCAACTATTCGGCCATAAGAAATATAATACTATATTTACTTATACAATGGTAGTATTGAAAGATATCAGCTTCCATACCACCATGTCGGCCCGTTAGCTAGTCGCAAACCTGTTCGTCTACAAGCAATGCCACTGATATTCAACTAACGATGATCCTCAATACTCTCGAAGAGTCATTTTAAGAAATGGGATTTTTTGCTATTACTGGCGTTTTATTACATTTTTGTTTGGTTTCCCAGGTACGAATGCCACTGACAAATCGGGATTTGAACCCATGACCCCTTGAATGGCCTTGTTTCAGAGTAAACCGCCTTACCAACTGAGCCAAGGACTGCTCTGACCTCGAAAACATAGAAAAAAATGCTCTTAAGATTCAATTCATAGTATGAATTTTCATTCATATTATAATTGGATCTTAAGAGCAATTTTCAAATTATTTTGATCCAAGGATCAGAACGTGATATTATCGAAACGATTTTAAATTACGATTTGGCAACCCTTGAAACATGAGAAACGAGGAGTCTCTTAGAATTGATCGCGGTATTAATAAAAAATTTTGATTTTTAATTTTCTTTTAAGGTTAATACAATAGAATAGAATTAAGTGTTTATTTTCAAATAAAGCAAAAAAGAATTAACATAATAACATGACATGGTACTATCGAGTCGATTTAAAAAAAAAGTAAAAATCAACTAGCCTCGTGATTTTTCAATTTTTTTTTTTTTGGAGGAAAGTGATACGATACTATCGAACTGACTTCAATTTAAGACTTCAAAAACATAGAAAATGACATAACAATACAGTTTATTTATTAAATGAAAATAAAATAGATATGAAAATATATCAAATATATAATTTTACAAGTGTTCAAAAAGACGGCCGTCTTGGTTTAGGCATAGTCCTACACGTCGTTCAAATGTGGTGTTAACATTATCCAGAATATCAATGGTGATATTTTGAAAAACTCGTAGGATTCGGTTTTTCATATCCTCTTTGGTAGTAAGGGGAATTTGGTATACCACATTCTCTGAATATTCAATGGTACATTTTCTAATAAATTTTCCATGGTATTTTGTAAAAAGTGAAGATATAATTGCCGTGTTAAATGTTCTTCGGAAAAATAAAGACCAATAACGTAAAGTCCAATAATCCCACCCCAAACATTGACTGACCTTACAAATTATTTTATTAAATATTTACTAGTAACTTGACACAATGTGACAGTTTTTTCCAAAGCCATCATATGCAACTAAAAATAATTTAGTTGCATAAAATTTAGTTTTTCAGAAATGTTGCTATATAAAAACTAACAATGGACCGATATGTGAATAAAATAGACTAATAAAATACAGGGTGTTCCATTTAAAAAAATGTAGAAAATCAAGTTTGAACTTTCTAAAAATGATCATATTATAAAAAATGCCCTGTATAAAATATCAATATTAACTAATATAGAAGCCTTTGTCTAACATTTGCCTATAATTGTGTCCATTGTATGTCTTAAATTAATTTGCAGTTTAGGTTTCTTGATTTTGTACAACTTTTACATAAACTTTTCTTCTGTATTATGAGTAACAAGAGAGTTATTGTACTTTCTCACACTAATGACCCACGCTGTATGCATGTATCTCCAAAACGTATCATTGATTACTGTGAAACCCCAATAAAATTTACTAAAATGGTTTAATTGATTATTTTCTAAGTACTAAAGTAAGAAAGACAAAAGGAAGAATAGAATGCATATATTTTTTTTACAATCAGTATTTTAATAAACTGATATTCTAAACTTCTGTTACGACCGACCAAACCTTTTATCATTATATTTTAATTTATTACTTACCTACTGGCAACATCTGTTGATATCAAGATCGATCTGTTTTTTGCTTTAAATTTTGTCAGAGCAGCAAGTCGTTTATTCTGTGACATTTGTCCATGTAAAGGAACAGCGGTTAATCCCAAATTTCTTAACACTAAAGCAGTCCTAATTGTATTGTTACATGTTGAACAGAATATCATACAGCTATTTCCAGCAAGTTCATTTAGAATATATACTAAATAAACATCCTAAAAATGTAGAGTGTGTTAATTAACAATATTTGCAATAATACAAATACAAAAATTTTCTACTCAGTGCCTCAGAGGTAGTGACGAATAACCATTATTTCATGAAAATCAATACCATATATTTCTACATCATTGGCAATAGGTTTTGTTGAATTGTTGGTAATGAGAATCAAATAGGGAGCAATTTTTAAGGTTATGTTTAAAATATTTATTTAAAAAACGGTTGAATATTTTGTATTTCATCAAATATACAATTTTTATTCAAAATAATATACGACTAAAACCGCTGTATCTTTTCCATTGCGTCACAAACAATATTCGTATGAGCTAAGACGAAAAATCCTAGTCAACTTAGTCACTGTTTTCATATAATTGAAATGTCATCTTGACAATTCCCAAATTTAGATATCTCGCAAATTTTAATATTGGTATTACTGGATTCGAAACTATGCCAAAAAATCAATATTGTCTGTCAAATTTTTAATCTGAGTGTTAGTTCTGTTTTGTTTTAAATGCGCTAGTCAAACTACTGTCTAAAATTAATATTAATACCCAACAAACGTCCTCCATTTTCTTTCACTATAATACACAAAATATTACAACGGTTGTTTGCAATAGATTGAGACTATGAAGACATTTATACCATCATTGTAACTCTTTTTACCACATTTGATAATGAATTCACGTCCGCAACGATTGTCTTTCATATTAGGACAAAACGGTTCTAGTGTTGGTGCTCCAAATAAAACATTTGCCAAAATTAAAAAACAACAAAACAAAATTGTCATCAGTTACATTTTTTAAACAAAGGACCCCGCACAAAATGAATGAAAATTGGGTCCCGCTAGATTTGGTTGAAATTGTAATATGTTATAGTTCTCGACATTCTGATGAAATGTTGTCATGGTCCCAAAGAGATCATATGGATAGTTTCAGAGATATAGAGGGGGGAAGTGTGTAATTTTGGCTGTAGGACTGAGTAAGCTTCACAAAGTTTCAAGTTGATGCATTCAATAACTGAGGCATGTAATGAATTTTGACCAGTAGGTATAATGCTTTTGGGATCGCTGAACCTGAATTCTTGGATAGCTTAGCTATCTAAGGTCACCTGGAGGTCAAGTAAAGGTCGTTTCAAGGTGAAACTGAAGAAAAGACGTATTGAATTTTGACCAGTGAGTGTAGAGGTTTTTGGGCTCGCAGAATCTGAATCTGGAGATAGCGTAACCCTAAAGGTGACTGTCAAGTCAATTCAAGGTTATTTCAAGATTAAACTAAAGAAAAGGCTTGTACTGAATTTCAACCAGTGCGTATATAAGTTTTTTTTGGGGTGAACTGAATTTGGGGATAGCTTAGCCCTACAAGGTCACATTTAAATCAAGTCAATATCATTTCAAAGTCAAAATAAAGGAAAGGCCTTTCACGAATGTTAACCTGCTTTGAGATTAACTCAAATGAAATGACCTTGACTTGATTTAAAGGTGATCTTATAGGGCTAAGCTATCCGCGAATTCAGGTTCAGCGGCAATCTCAAAAGCATACATACTTACAGGTTAACATTCGTGAAAGGCCTTTTCTTTACTTTGACCTTGAAATGATCTTGCCTTGATCTAAATATGACCTTGTAGGGCTAAGCTATCCCCAAATTCAGTCCCCCCCCCCCCAAAAGAAAACTTATATACGCACTGGTTGAAATTCAATACAAACCTTTTCTTTAGTTTTATCTTGAAATGACCTTGAATTGACTTGAAGGTGACCTTTAAGGTTACGCTATCTCCGGATGACACTCACTGGTCAAAATTCAATACAAGTCTTTTCTTCAGTTTGACCTTGAAACGACCTTTACCTGACCTCCAGATGACCTTAGATAGCTAAACTATCCAAGAATTCAGGTTCAGAGCGATCTCAAAAGCATTGTATCTACTGGTCAAAATTAATTACATGCCTCAGTTTTTGAATCCATCAACCTGAAACTTCGTGAAGCTTACTCAATCCTACAGCCAAAATCACACACTTACCCCCTCTATATCTCTAAAACTATCCATAGGATCACTTTGGATCCGTGACAACTTTTAATCAGAATGTCAAGAACTATAACATATCACAATTCCAGCCAAATCTCGCGGGACCCAATTTCCATTCATTTTGTGTGGGGTCCTTTAATTTAAAATTCAAATTTTTGTCAAAATGAATAAACATTGCAACTGAAATAACTTCTACAAAACTAATTTTCTATTTTAAAGAACTAAATTAAATATATTTTCTTCAAAGGCAGTAAATAGCAAAATAATGAAAAATTTTTCTTTTAATCATAAAAATACACATTTTCAATTTCATGGAAACTTTTTAGCAGTCAATGATCAACACATACCTTAAATTTTACTGGAATGAATATATAATACTGCAGTAATTTTTCAACTGTCTGATATTTTGTAGAAACTTCAATTTTAACTGGATCTTGTAAGCAAGCTCTTTGTAATTTTTTTACTTTTTTAGTCATAGTTGCTGAAAATAGCAATGTTCTTCTCTCCCGAGGTATAACCTTTAATATTTTATCCACTTCAACCTCAAAATCCATATTAAGTATTCGATCTGCTTCATCCATAACCAAATACTTTAATGCTCGTAAACTGAAACCTTTTGTATTTTCTAAATGATCTAATAAACGTCCAGGAGTTGCTATCAATATGTGTGGTTTTTTTGCCAAAACTAAAGCTTGAGTCATCATATCCATACCACCTACTATTACAGCACATTTTACACCAATACTAGCACCTAAGAGTAAGTAATTTAATTTTCTATAGTCATTAGGAAAAGTAAAAGTTTAGTATAGGGGCTTCATAAAAAATTAAAATCTGAAAAAATTGTAATATAACAATAATGCAATTAATGCTTTCGTCATATTCATTATGTTCATTTTCTCCTAGATATAAATTTTATAGGGGATATTATTAAAAAAAAAGGTTGGAAAATAAAACATAGTTTAACCAATCTTCAAATATCTTCACCGGATAAATGATGTATGTATTTTCTAACCCAGTTTACAACTTGGCTAGAAAGAGATAAAACCCACTTCTTACGCACTGTAATTTATGAGTTCCATTCCTTAAAAATTTTATATACAATGTGGCCAAATCACTTTAGGTATTTTTTATTAAAAATTCTACCTATGTAACCCTAGCCAGCATCACTAAATACCCTTATATCTCAACGTTCATTAAAATACAAATTGATTTTTTAAACATTTAAAGTTATTCATGAAATTTCCATTTCAGTTTAAAAATCTAGGAGGCTGTAGAAATGAAATGAAAAATTGGCCAGTTACTGACGGGTTAAAAATCCCATAGTGCGTCTATGTCCATGGCCCGATAAAGGTTTCGGCATGTTAATGCTTTACACTACACACTTTTAATTTATTAGATTTGAAAAGAACTTTTTATACATTTTCAATAGATTCTAGTACACAAAAATCATCCGATGTTTGAGATAAAAGGGGTTGAAATTTAAAAGTATATATTACATTTATTTAAATATCTATTAAGATGCTTCATGTAGATTGAATACTTGAGCTAATGACTTATGGGCAAAAATTTGTTGAGTTGGTACACAAATCTGTCAAACAGATATCTCTTTAGAAATAGCAATTTATGATGTTAATGAAATACTATGACCAATGGTGGATTTTATTTCAATAAAAAAAGTTCTTATAAACATGTGTCTGGAAACACTTAATTTTCGAGGTACAGGGTGTTGAAAATTAAAAAATATATTTAAATATTTAAGAAATATTATATTTAAATATTTTTTTAAATTTCAACACCCTTGAAAATAAAGTGTTTCCAGACAATGTTTCTAAGAACTTTTTTTATTGAAATAAAATCCACCATTTGTCAGAGTATTTCATTAACACTATAAATTTCATTTGAATTTGTGCCCCATAAAAATTTTAGGTCCGTACCAAATATCAAATTGGCTGAGGTTTCAGAAGAATGTTCTGGTTAATGGGGCTCACTATATTTAATACCGCAGTACTAAATGTAATTTACACATTTATTTTTTGCAATATTACAATAATTTTTCCTACTGTTTTTCTTAAAATATATTGTTAACCTACTTAGCAAATGTCATAAGTCCACTTTTTATCCAGACAGATTTTGGTGGCATCTAGCTGGCAGTGCATGAACCTGTCATGCTGAGATGTCAGATTTTACTAAACAGCGCGAAAACATCAAAATGCATATGTCGAATGTCCACTGCATTCGATTCAAGGGCAGAAATAGTCGTAAGTCCACTACTAGCTTAGTAGTTTGCATACGTGCTTATTGGACTCCACAATAATTAGCCCTTTTTGGAGAAAACAGTAATGTGTTGTTAAGTAAATGTTAATTATTGTTTAGGTAATTACATATTATTATATTTAGTATAAAAATATTTGAAAATATTTTGACCAAATCTAAGAAATTGTCGTATTTAATTTTGCCAGCGAAATACGACATTTTCTAATGACAGATTTAGTTTTCTTGGAGTTACGATATTTGTAAATCATAATTATTACGAATTGTGTTTTTATAACATCGATAAAAAAGTGTAAAGTACATTTTGTTGGAGGTTTTTTTATATTCTTTTGGTATAATTTCTTATTGTGGCAATCAATTTACAAAAAATTTTTGTTTTAGATTATATTTGATGATAGAAGAAAATAGATTCTGCTATCCCAGAGTCCAAAGCGCACAAAATCAGAAAAATCCTGTTATCCTGTCAAGAAATACTCGTACCTGATATTCCTACCCACTCAGAGTCACTTTTACTTATTGATATACCAGAAGTAACAAACAATCTCGAATTAACCTGCAATAGCTATGAAGTTTTAAATTTCAATCTTGAATTAGAAAATTGCAGAAAGGATTTGAATATACCTTTATCTGAACCAAGTGCAGTTAAGGACGGGATTTTGTACAAAAAATATCGCTCAGCGTGAGTCACGAAACGAGACCCCGGCAAGTGCTGCTCTAGCGGCCAACGCTTCAAGGTGTGTTTTTTAACCGAACGACGACGAACAGAAATCTAATAGTTTACGCTGGACCGATATTCGCCCGATTTTTCAGGAACGGCTCCAATTTGTGTACATACAATCTTATAAGCAAAGAGAGTAAAGAATTTATTAATTAGTAATAGATTATCGAGGACAATAATATTTTTTTTATTAAGTAAGCAATAATTTTTAGTTAATAAGCTTAAACAATCTTATAATTACTATTCCTTCATTATACGATTTTTAAAATTACATGTAGTTTCTTCTTCAAAAGTGACCTTAAAACACGTATAACATGGAATAGTCAACAGTCTAATGTTTATATTTTCACATTAACAATCCGATAATGTAAATTAACTGCTATTTTCAGTAAAAATATATACCTAACCTGAATTATTTTTTTACTTTGGCGAGTAGTATTAACTTAAAAAACACTGCTTAATTACTAAAATATATAGAAACTTGCTACTAATTACGTTTGGAGAATAATAAAATATATATAAAATATTATTGTATCTATTTAGTCCATTGAAATGAAGGCTGAACCTCCATGTTTTCCTCTGTCGATCAAACCTGGGCGCAAACATGTTTTCGACCCTCAGGAATCCTAATCCGCAAAAATGTTTGACCTAGCTGGTTAGGCAAGGGGTCAAAATGTCAAAAAAACGTAAAAAATAAGGTTTTTTGCAAATATCTCATAAACTACGGCAACTAGCAAAAAAATAATTGCACCATCGTGTTCCCAGGGAAATTTTACAACGATTTTATGCTATTGCTTATTAAAATTAAATAAACTTTTGTCATGTTTTGGACAATTACTAAGCAAGAGAGGGGAAGGCATTTGTGGAGTACGCGCACGCTACATGTATCGGCTGACTTGAAGCTGACAGCTCTAGCAGGTGCGCTTCTTTCGAATATAATGCGATTTCAAATATAATTAGCCTGCAGTTGTAGTGGATCTGAGTTCAATTGCCGGATACACTATTTTTTTGCTATTTACTTTAATTTTTAAATGGAAAACCAAAAATAATACTAATGAAGAACAGAAAAAAAAACTTTTTTGGAACGAAATACTTATTGCAAAAATGAAATAATAAATATAGTGCTCTGAAAAATCGACTTATAAAGCTTATTCTACAAATACTTGTTCATAAGTCAAAATTTGTATATACAATTGTTCCCAGAATGACAACTTTTTATTTCTTAATTTTGAAAACTTTTGAGGAATGAATAAAATAAGTCTAGTAGTCCGGGCGAATTAGTTTTTTTTTCAAAAATCGGGCCTACCTCGAATTTTACGTGTTTAAAATTAAGTAAAAAATACACTAGAATAAAAGCCTAAATATTGATTTTGTTCCTAAGGAAATTTGCTACAAGAGTAGGCTTTTGCGAAAGTTCGCAAAATTTTTTTTATTTTGCAACTTAAAAATCTGAAATTTCCACAGACCGCGAGATAATGTAATTACCTTTAGATCCTTTCTTGCGGAATTTCGATATCTTGACTTGGGCAGAAGATACACGGGCTCGCGTTTTCAACAATATAATTTTGCAATACGCCACCATTTTTTTTTGGGGGTCCGGATTGCAGGTATTTGTTGAGCACCCCAACAGTTATCTTTTCCTGTAGTTTCATCCAATTTCAGTCAAATTTGTTATTTTTATTTAATTTTGAAAATTTAGTATATTTTTCTATTCACCGCTAATTTTGCAATATAAAAATTTTTTTGCGAACTTTCGCAAAAGCCTACCCTTGTAGCAAATTTCCTCAGGAACAAAATCAATAAGTATACCTCATGTCGATTAGAGGCTTATTTTTGGAAATATAAGCGAAAAACTGAAAAAAAGCAATTATTTTATTTTCTTTTTTGTACCTAGCCTTATTTGAAACAATATTGAAAATCTGCAAACACATCTTCATTGACACTTTTTGCCCTCTATCCGATTTCTTATACAACGTTTCGCCTTTCCGGGGCTATCATCAGGTTAATTTTTTTAAGTATAGTTGCAGTTTTGGTAGCAATTCATGATGTTTTTGAAAAGACCGGGTCTAAATGAAAAGACCGGACCCAGTTTAAATCTTCTCGACACAACTCTAATCTCTTATAATAAAAGACAAGCGAGACACCCATAGTGAGCCTCTTGAATGACTCACCCTGTATACATCGAGGAGTAACGCAGGGCAGCAAAGTTTTAGTGCTATGTCGTGTGTTATGCTTTAACAGAAAATACAAAAATATATATTTTTTGCAACGCGATAGGACATAAGGAGCATATTTGAAAAATATTTTGTTCTGGAATTCCCCGTTACAGCAAACTTATATTTTTTGTAATGAAATATCACTTTATTCTCATATTTGCATTTAGTTAAATAAGCAAAAGTTGATTGTTAAGACAATATGAAATTAAAATTGTGTTAGTTATATTCATATTCAAGAATGAATTACTTTTTTGGTGGTCACTTTTTTCATTAAATATCCAGCGGTTTCCTTCTTATCGGTAATAAGTAGCTACTGATTTGTAGATTGAAAAAGAAATTTACCTGAGTCAGACTAATTTTTAAGCTGTAAATTTATTTTGAAGCTAGAACATAAATAACGATTTTATGTGGGACACCCTGTACGTAAAATTTATTCTTTATTCTTAATAAAGAAAAATTAGTACATATTATTGGTTTTTTATGCGTTATATTTTCGTACTATTTAAGCTTTACAAAATCTTATTACTTAGGTACTTTTAAAAAATT